GCCGGACCTGAGTGGCCAGAAGAGTATCCGGATCCCTGGAGATGGAGATGTAGGTGGAGGACTCAGCTGCTCTAGAACCCTGAAGAGGGTTCTGCCCCAAAAAAACCATCTCCTAGGGCCAGCAGGTGGCAGAGTGGTTAATATGCTGGAATTCCACATGGCTGACTGCGGTTCAAGTCCTGGACCTGGTGACTTGAAAATCACACCAAGCACGTGTGCATGCGTGCCCAAAATCCCAGGAGGAGAATGGAGAAGAGATTGCAGTGTGGCCATTCCCTGGGGGGCAATTTCTCACTTTCCCTCTCACTGTCTCTCTCTGGTGAGTGTACATGCCCTATGGCAAGGGTCTAGAGGAAAGAAAAAGAAAACCCATCTCCCACCTCCGTTGTGGGAGTCAATATCCTGTGTGCAAAATGTTTGCGATCTTCTGTGAAACTGTCGTTTATCACCAATTTGTATCTGTAAGTAACTGTTATAAATATCACCTGCATTTTTGATGCATGTGGAACTGCAGCTGAAATTTATTTTGCCAATGTTTTCTGAATGAACTGAATAAAGTTTATGTTGAAAAAGAAAAAAAAAATCATTCATTCATGGCCAGCCTGGAGCCTAGTGGTTAAGGGAGAGTCAGAGAGGGAGAGGGGAAGGGAAGGGGAGGGGGAAGGGGAGAGGGGGAGAGGGAGAGGAAAAGAGGGGCAGAGGGAAAGGGGGGCAGAGGGAAAGGGGGGGAGAGGGAGAAAGCTCTGCCCCCATGGGTGTGGTCTCGCCACAACGTCATCTTCATTTCTCTGTCATATTGGGACTTGGGGCTTGTGCGTGTATGTTTTTCAAGCTGCTGGGGACAGCATTCAAACCACATGGCCGGCCAGCCATGTGCGGTCTAGTTTCCTTCAACCGCTAGGCCAGAGGGCCAACTCTAAACGTTTCTCCTTTATTTTTTAAATACGATTTGCCTAACCCTCTGTTACTTTGGGTTTTCTGTCATTTACGGCCATCCCCATCCTAACTGCTGTAGATTAGGACTTTATACTATACACATACATCATTTTTAGTGAATTAAAGAAAATATAAGAGATGACCCTTGGGCCATAAATATGCTTCTAAAAGTACGAACCGCCAAGGAGGACACTGATCCACAGCTGACTTAAACCAGGAGCTTTTCTTCACTGAAGGACACACCGGTAGAGCGGGCCTCCACACTGGGAGAGGAGAGTTTGTGAATATAGTGAGTAAAGTATTAGTATCCAGAATATGTAAAGGGTTCTTAGAATCAATCAAATGAAGACAAAAGACTCAATAAAACACTGGCAGAGACACAAGGGTAAGTCAACTGGTATCCAAATGGAATAAAGCAAACCTTGACCCCATAGGGGGAAAAAATATGTTCATGGCCTCAGGGAGAGAGGATATTAAATAGCACATATAAAATCCTAACTAGTAAACTTTTTAGAAATTCAGAGATTTTATTCATCAAAATCACAGTGTCATCATCTAAGGGCTCGTATTATCACAAAGTGCAAAGAGCTGATACAAACCTGTAAGAACCGACAAGACAATGAAACTGACAAGAGACTCAAACAGCTGCACAAAAGAAGACAGCTGATGGCCAATCAACACACAAAAAGGGGCTCGGCATCATCAGGAAGCAGAAGTAACAAAATAAAACCAAAATTATACACTGCTATGCATGCGTAAGGTGACTAAAAGAAAAAAAAAAAAAAGCCAAAAACAAAACCTAAAAATCAAAAAAAAAAAAAAGACGAAACACAAACCTAAAAATCCAAGGATGTGGAGCGGGAATGTGCAGATAAATGTTAACAACGTGCTCTCCTGATCTGCAGTGTTGGCCAATCTCTGCCCACGCTGGCTGATTTCAAGTTATCAGTGTTACGTCTCTAAATGTGGAGTTGCATAATGAGCTCTTGCAAGCCACCGTGAACTAATTCCAGCTACCGCTGAGAAGCAGCCAGAACTCCCATATCCTGCTGACAGACACGTAAATTGGCACAAGCATGTTAGAAAACTGTCTGGTCATATCTACAAAAGCTAAACATAAACACTTTCTATGATCCAGCAATTCCACCCCAGGTGCATTCGCAAGTAGAAACACACACACATCTGTTCATCAGAAGTCATTGCACAAGAACGTTTCCAGCTGTGCTATATGGAACAGCGCCAAATGAGGAAAATACCAAAATGCTCAGCAATGACATGATGGGCAAGTTATTTGTGGTATGTCAATATAATGAATGAAAATGACTGGTCTACTACCATATGTGGCAAATGAATGCGTTTCTTAGGCACAGTGTTGAGAAAAGTATGCAGACACAAAAAGTTACTCGTGTCGTGACTCCTCTGTTATTAGTTCAGAAATGGGCTACATGAATTTATGGAGCTAGAAACTATGATAATGGATCCCTTTGGGATGGCAGAGGTGTGCAGGTGGTAGAAGTAGGTGGGTGGGTAATATTTTACTTCTGGACCTGTTGGTAGTTACATGAATTTTTTTTGTGGTAATTAGTTGGTGGTATGTTCATATTTTATGCTTGTTTCTATAATGTATATTGTGGTTTGATTTAAGAATTCATGGCAATTTCTATACACTAACAATTAATAATCTGGAAAGAAGACTGAGAAAACAGTTCCACTTATTATAGTATCAAGAAGATCAAAATACATGGGGATAGGGCCAGGTGGGTGGTGTAGAAGTTAAGGCAGCTGTATCTCACATGACTGGATGCGTGGTTCGAGTCTCAGACTCAGTGGCTTGAAAAACATGCTGTGTGTTTGTGTGTGTGTGCCAAAAATCCTGAGAGGAGAATGAAGGAGAAGGGATTGTGGTGTAGTCATCCCCCAGAGGAGTGCTTTCTCACTTTCTCTCTCTCCAGTGAGCTCATGCACCCTAGAGTAAATTAAAAACAATAACAACAACCAAAACATCGTAATAAATTTAACTAAGGAAGTGAAAGGTGTGGACATTGAAAACCAAAACAAACAAACAAAAATGCTAGGAAAACAAAAGAGAGAAACTAAAGAAGAAATTTTTTAAATGGAAAGATACACCATGTTCATGGATTGAAAAATTTAATAGTGTTAACATGATGATATCATCCAAAGTCATCTATAGTTTCAATGCAAATCATATTGGATAATCTCTATCAAAATTTCTAGGGAACCAGCAGTTAGCGTAATGGCTATGTCGCTGGACTCCCACGTAGTCGACCGCGGTTCGTGTCCCGGACCCGGTGGCTTAAAACTCACGCCGGGCGCGTGTGCGTGCGTGCCCAAGATCCCGAGAGGAGAATGGAGGAGAAGGGATTGCGGCGTGACCATCCCCCCTGGGGGGTGATTTCTCGCTTTCTGTCTCTATGTCTCTCTCTGTCTGTCTGGCGAGCGCACGCGCCCTACAGTGAAAATCTCTAAAAAAAAAAAAAAAAAAAAAAAACTCGAGATTTTTTTGCAGAAATAGAAAATAGCCTAAAATTCATATAGAATCTCAAGGGACCCCTTAATAATAAAACAAAACAAAATAAAACAAAAACTTTAAAAATAAGCATTAGGGGAAAAAAGGGCCAACCTTGTGGCCCAGTAGCTAAGGGAACTGGATTTTACATGGCCCACTGCAGTTCAAATTCTAGCCCCAGCAGCTTGAAAAACATCCTGGGCCCATGTGCATGTGTGCATACCCCAAATCTTGACACAATAGAGAAATGGAGGAGAATAGATTGCAGCATGACCTTAACCCACTGGGGGTGCTTTCTCCTTCTCTCTCTCTCTCTCTGTCAGTCTGACAAAAATCACATGTCCTCTGGCAATTAAAAAAAAAAGTGTGAAGTTGGAGGACTCACATTTTCTGATTTCAAAACTTAACTGCCAAGTTATTGTAATCAAAGCAGCGTGATACTGGTATAAAGATAAACATTTAGACCAATAAAACAGAAAATCTACGAGTAAACCTTTGCATTTGTGGTCAAATGACTTTCAACAAGAATGTCAAGACCATTCAATTGGGAAAAGGACAATCTTCTCAACAAATGGTGCTGAGAAAATTGGATGTCTACATACGAAAGAATGAAGTTGGACCTTTTGCCTTATACCATATACAAAAACTAACTAAAAATGGATTAAGAGCTAAAACCATAAGAGCTAAAACCACAAAACTCTTACAAGAAAACCTAGGGAGACTAGCAGTTAGCATAATGGCTATGTCACTGGACTCCCATGTAGTTGACCATGGTTCGTAGTCCCAGACCCAGTGGCTTAAACTCACGCCGGGCACGTGTGCGTGCGTGCCCAAGATCCCGAGAGGAAAATGGAGGAGAAGGGGCTGCAGTGTGGCTATCCCCCTGGGGAGTTATTTCTCGCTTTTTGTCTCTCTGTCTCTGTCTTTCTGGGGAGCACACACGCCTTATAGCAAAAAACAAACAAACAAACAAACAAACAAAAAACCTCTCAAAAGAAAACCTAGGGAGAAATTTTCCACAACATTGGATTTGGCAATGATTTCTTGAATATGACTCCAAAAGCATAGGAAAAAAGAGAAAAATTGATAAATTGGACTTACTCAACATTTAAAACTTTTATGTATCAAAGGACACTATCCAGAGAATGGAACAGCAACCCACAGACTGGGAGGAAATGTTGCAAATCGTTTTATCTGATAAGGGATTCATATCTAGAAAATACAGAGAACTTAGCCTAGTCACGGTGGTACAAGTGGTAGGAGTGTGCATGAGAGACTGGAGACAGATGGGAAGGCTCTGGATTCATGTCCCAAGTCTACCAGGTGCACCCTAAGTCCTGGATGGCTGGAGGGCTTGGGGAGAATCTCAGCATAGGGCCCTGTCAAGGATCTCTCTCTCTCTCTGAGAGAATAAATACTGGGTCATCGGAAAAGTCATGATGTATTTTTCTGTTTTTCTATGCAAAAATGCATCATGACTTTTCTGATGACCCAGTAACTTAAAAAAAAATCTTTTTATAGAGATAGCAAGAGGATCGTGCTCGCTTCGGCAGCACATATACTAAAAAATTATAATGAAACAGAGAAGATTAGTGTGGCCCCTGTGCAAAGGATGACATGCAAATTCATGAAGCATTCCATATTTTTCAGTGAATCTGAGACTTGTCTTAAAAACTTTAGACATTTGTAGAAGGAAATGTGTAGACTTTTCACTTATATACTAAAGATTCTGGGTTTTTTTCTTTTCTTTTTTTAAAAATTTTGGTGCCATTCTCATTGTAAAAATAAACATTTGTACTGGATTAAAAAAATATTAGCTGTATATATTAAAAAAAAAGAAATAACAAGAGGACCTAAAAATCAGCAACAAAAAAAACCCCAACCACTCAATTAAAAAATGGGCAAAGGATTTGAATAGACACATCTCGAAGTGACCAACAAGCTATGAAAAGATACATAACATCACTTATTACTAATCCTAGATAAATGTGAATAAAACGCACACACAAAGAGAAAATGAAAAGTGTTGATGAGGGTGTGGAGAAATCAGAACACGTGTGCACCGGCTGATGGGAATGTAAGCTGATGAAAGCAGTGTGGAAAACAATGTGATGGATCTGCAGAAACTGAAAAGGAGAACCACCATATGACCCAGTAATTACACTACAGGTATATGCCCCAGAGAATGGAGAGCAGAGTCTCAAATTTTTTTTTTCATTTCTTAATAGAAAATGAGAAAGCACCCCTTGGGGGAGATGGCCATCCTGCAATACCCTCTCCTCCATTCTGTCCTTGGGATTTGGGGGCACATATGCATATGTACCTGGCTTTTTTTTAGCTGCCTGGTCCAGGACTCAAACCGTGCAGTTGGCCATGTGGGATCCAGTAATTGAATGGCATCAAAGAGTTTTTGCTTTTTTAGGGTTTTGCCACAGGGTACATATGCTTGCTTGTGAGAGACAGAGAGAGTGGGAAAGTGAGAAAACATCCTCCAGGGGGTATGGCCGTGCCACGATCCCATCTCCATTCTCCTCTTTGGATTCTGGGTTCACATGCACACATGCCGTGTGATTTTCAAGCCACCAGGTCTGGAACTCAAACCATGGTCAGCCATGTGGGGACACAGTCCTTCACCACCATGCCACCTACTGGCCCCCAAGGAGATATTTTTGTGCACGTATTTACAGAAGAATTGTTCACAATAGTCACGAGGCGGAAGCAACCCAAGTGTCCATTGATGAGTGGATGGGTACACAAAATATGGTGTATCTGTTTACAATGGGGTATTACTCTGCGTTAAAAAGAAGTTCTGACACACCGGAAAACATGAATTAATCTCAAAGACATTATGCTGAATGAATTAAACCAGCCACCAAAAGACAAGTATGATATGATTACACTTTTTTAAAAAAAATTTTAAAATAATTTTTTTGTATTATTTTAACTTTATTTATTTATTTTTATTTGACCAGAGAGAGCCAGAGTGTGTGAGAGAGAGAGAACATGAGAAAGCAAACTGCTAGGTCTGGGACTTGAACCGTGGTTGTCCATGTGGGAGTCCAACGCCCTTAAACAGCATGCCACCTGCCGGCCCCATGATTCCACTTGTATGAGGGGAAGTTGTCAAAATCAGAGAGGCAGAAAGTGGAACAGTGGCTGCGGGAGTGAGGGAGGAGGGAGTGGGGAATAACACTGAGCGCGGACAGGGTTGGGGTGAGTGAAGACGGACGGTGGTGGTGGCTGCACAGCAATGGGGACTCACTTAACGTCACCGAACTGTACTCTAAAATGCAAAACAGCCACTTTCATGGCAAATGTATTTGAGTGAAAACATGGACAAAAATAAAGAAGAGGTTGCATCTCCAGAGCAGATGCAGGTCTCAATGAATGAAGCCATTGTCAATCTGGGTCCAGTGTGGAGACAGAAACCACACGGGGTCTAACATGTCTTGTTTAATGTGAAGGACTGTTCAAAATGACGAAAGAGTAACTAGAAGACAGGAGGGGGCTCTAGCTCCTGAGCCGAAGGAGCTTTCTTGGGAGAGACAGACCTGGAGGTCCCCTCGTCAGGGATGGCAGGGGTGGGGAGCTCAGCAGCTGGCAGCGGAGCCCGGCTGGTTTGAGCGGCTGGGTCTCCCGCTGGTGTCTGTGGGGGGAGCGCAGAGCCCTGCCGGCGTCAGTGCTGGGGCAGGCAGGAGCCCGCAGAGGCAGAGGCTGCAGGACATGCTTCGTATGGAGAAGGGAATCTTACCACCAGCTGGCCAGGAAAGAACGAGATGTGCATTACCCACAAACGTGTGATCATTTGGGGAGAGCCCAGACTCCCCCTCGGCATTGCGAAATGCCGAGACTTGAGCAGCGCGCGAAGGTGTTGGAGGGTGGAGTATTACGGAATGAGTTACACGGATTCCTGTCCCATCAAAAGACGACAGAAGGAAGTTCTCAGACGCTGCCCTGGCACCAGCCCTGTCCTAGGTGCTGAAACTCTGCACCCAGACAGGCTGAGGCCCAGGGAAGGTGCTCAGGAGAATCTGTTACCAATGGTGGTAGCAGAGATGAGGAGCCAGAGGAGTGAAGGCAGGCCCCGCCCACCCCAGCGTGTGTCCGAGGACACTTCTCACAACAGCCTCCCTGGCAGGTGCTGTTACTGCCCTCCACTGACCGGAGAGACTGAGGCAGCAGAGCTCCGGTGACTCGCCCAGGGGCACGCAGCAAGCAGTGGGGCCAGGAATCAGCTCCAGGACAGATGCGGTCTCAGTGAATGAAGCCACTTGTCCCTCTCCCAGTGACGAGAAGTTGCAGCACCAAGAGCCTCAGAGCCGCAGGCCCGGGGACACACGCAGGTTGTTTCGATTCTGCAAAGCGAAGTGCAAACTAGAAGCGCCACACTTGAAAAGCTGTGTGGCTAGTTGTCATCGCAGTCCCCTCTCCTGGACACAGAGCTGGCAGCGCTGCCTCACCAACCACGACTGTGTCATGTGAGAAAGGAGAAGTGTCTGCTTTGCCCTTCTTGACTTCCATCATCGAGAAATCGACGCCCCCCTCTGGTGATTAAAAAGAAAAGGCGAGGCTGTGATCCTCCACTCACTGAAGGCAATTTAAAAGTGTGTAACCTGGGACCAGCAGTTGGCCTAATGGCTATGTCGCTGGACTCCCACTTAGTCAGCCACGGTTCAAGTCTGGGACCCGGTGGCTTAAACTCACGCCGGGCGCGTGAGCGTGCGTGCCCAAGATCTCAAGAGGAGAATGGAGGAGAAGGGATTGCGGCGTGGCCATCCCCCCAGGGGGTGATTTCTCGCTTTCTGTCTCCCTGCC